AAATAATCTCCTAAACTTCAGTTTCCTCATCTGTGAAGTGAGAACAACACACATAATTAACATAATGTTAACAATACAACATTGTTATGAAGATTAGGTGAGCTGATACATTGGAAGCTCTTGGCTCAGTTTCTGGCATTTGGGAGGAACCCCAAGAGTCTGAGCTCTTATTCTTATTATACTTTTATGTACACTGTAAAATTCTGAAACAGAGATCCATGTACATACATCTCTGACCATAATTCCGATTAACTCTTTATGATAGGTTCCTAGAAGGATAATTACTTAGGTCTAAGCGTCTGAACATATTGGATGATAATCCTGTTTTGTCAGAGTTATCCAGAAAAGGCAATTCAACAGTTTGCTTCACTTGACTACCAGAAAATCCTCGAGCTCTGGAAGTTAAATTCTTAAATTTATTTGGCAGATGACAAACCTAACTAAATTTATGTATATTTATGTTAAAATCTGGTGCTCTTTAAGATCTCTTTGTGATAGGTCATTAGCAAGAAAGAGAAAATAAGAGGGAAGGTTTCCCTATTTCTGGTAAACCCAACAGTCCCAGAGGTGAAAGGGGTTTAGGAGACTGTGCCCCTGGCTTCCAGCAATCCTCTGAGTGCATTCATTCCTTGGTGTTCCCTTCTAACACCTGCCACTTTAAATCCCTCGCTTTGCATTGCCATTGGACTTTCAGATTCCCTCCTTATCTTTGACCTTTTTATTTAAGGATGTGACTTTTAACTAACCTTTGGCCTGTGGGTCAGCAGTTAAGCTGTCCATTCTTCCAGACTCCTTTCATCTTTTGCCTTTTTAAGGACAAAGCCAGTTGTGCATAACTTACACATATTTTGGCCATCTCAAGCCATTCTTAGGTGGTGAAACCTCCTAAGGCAGGTGCTGCCAGGGGCACATCGAATAGAAAAGAGAAACAAACTGTTAAAAAGAGCAATAGACTTTGGGTTTCTCAGGAAAACTCAGCCTGTTCCAGTTTCATTTCAATGTCCTCTTTTAGGGGAGGCTAGAGGATTATTCTTAACAGAGGCAGTCTCGATACAGTTTTCTCATTTTGAAAGTGAGGTCTCTTGCTTGTGAGGAGTAAATGTTAAAAACCCTCCCTCTCCTCAAGGAGATCTTAGCTTACTGGAGAAGGGGGACAGAATATACACACATGTCTGCAACCTAGAGTAGAGGAAGTAAGGGTCACGAAGCACAAAAGGGAATTCCAAGAAAGGAGAGTTTCAAATGAATGGTGGAAATCTAGCAGGACTTCATGTAAGAGATGGTGTTTAAGAGGAGTCAAGCTTTGTGAAGGAGCGGTGTTTAAGATCAGTCATGAAGGATGTTAGTGAGTGGAATTTGGTGCAGGTGGAGGGGTGAGTAGAACGAGAATGGAAACATTCATGCATGCAAGTGGAATCACAAGAGAAAAGTCAGAGCTATTAAGAAGTGGAACATGTCTGGGGACTATCAAGGGAGGTAGTTTCATTAGCATGTACAACATATTTAGGGGACTATGGAAGGTACAAGGAAGGACCAGGCTGCAGAGTGCCTGGAGTAAGGCATTTGTCTCAGTCTGGCGGACAAGACACTGAAGGTTTGATACCTAGGGAATGATCTGACCCCAGCTGTGGTTTGAGAAGGACAGTGAGGGAGCTGTGTGTAAGGTGAAATGAAGGGAGAGCCAGAGGTAGAGAAAAGGAGAGAAAGAGAGAGGAGAGAAAGACTAACCAGGGCATGTTAGATTTTTTCTAGACTAAAGACAATAGTGGGGGAGGGGGTCAAAGCCAGAACAGTGGCTGTGAGGATGGAGAGGACAAGTGGAAAAGCTTAGTAAATTTATGAAAATCTTTTTTTTTTAAGAATAATTTCTTTTCGGGCACCTGGGTGGCTCAGTTGGTTAAGTGACTGCCTTCGGCTCAGGTCATGATCCTGGAGTCCCGGGATCGAGTCCCACATCGGGCTCCCTGC